TTTTATATGCTCCCCTTTTAGCCCGTAGACTGCTCTGGATTTCCCTGGTCAGCCAAGGAAGCCTCTTGGCCCCTTTCCCCCTTTTTCCCCACATTGGGATCGTCTCCCTCTGTGCTCAAAGGATCATTTCCTTAAGGCACAGCCACCCTTCCTGGACTCCCAACTCTATTTCTGCATGTAAGTTATTAACAAAAATATTAAGCCAAAGTGTACCCAGAAGAGTTCCCTGAGAGAAGACCTGTTCCCTGTTAAAAACCTTCTGCTATTCTGATATTCATTCCATTGTTACACTTTTTCAGCTATTCAATCAAACACGCATCTATTAGTTGAAGACATGTTCATTCAAATTGGCAAAAGTCTGACACTCTTTACTTTTAATGAACTGTATCCCTTCACCACATTTATATAAATTCTGCTAGTCATCTTATTGCCAGTTGTTTTTTTTATTGTTGTTTGCCTTTTGATCGGGGGGGGGAGGGGGAAGGGGAGGCAGAGGGGTTGTGGAAACTGAAACAAAGTGCAAACACTAAGCATTGCATGATGCACATTCTCTCCAGTGAGCCGAAGACCCACCATCTTTCTAATCTGTCTTGATTACCTGCCATGTTTGTAGAACCCCATCTTATTCTATTTAATATCTATGACCAGTTGTAGCTTTGATTTATTCTCTAAAGCTATTTGTAATAGTTGGTGTTTTTAAAGTTGTCTGAAGGAAAAAAAGTTACAGTAATTTTATATACAATATTTGTTGGTATAACAGCCAGGGTCTAAAACTCATTATGTTTTTGGGGCTTTATGTGCAAAATCTCCTTATGCTTATGGTTAAATGTGAATCATACATAGTTGTATCCTGTGTACTCCCTAGAGCATGGCAGTTTTATACATGATGCATGGGTAAATTTATACTCATTCCTCAAACTGTGATTAAAAGGAGAACATAGACATTTTATTACAGGCATTTCAAAATTATTATTTCGTCTTAAATTTCTACCTTTTTAACAACTTTAACCTCTTGGAAGACTGGGAATGTACATTTTTCCCCTAACGTACCTTATTGTGTTACTCTAGAGTTGCTCATGGCTACTGGCCTTAATGCCTTAGTTTTTTTTTTTTGTTTTTGTTCTTAAATATTGTATCACTTGTGTAAATATGTTAATACTGTAGCCTGTAGAAAAAAAATACAAGGAAGTTTATAAGACAGGTCAAATTATGGGCCTACTGATTTTGTCAGTATCCTTATAGGCAACCACAAAATTCACGATTTCATGGATTCTGCAAAATCCAGCATTGCCTGTGAAATCCAGGCAATGTCCATGAAATCCGTGGGGGAAAAAAATTATGGAAAAGAAAACACTGGCTCCTTAGCCAGCAATCCTTAGTGGGCTGCAGCAGCCCAGCGGGGCAGGAAAGTGGAGACAAGGGGGCTTCCCACTTGAAGGGCTGCAGGCAAGGTGGCTACCATTCCCTCCCCCCTCCCACCCCCGGCCACTGATTGACTGCAAGGGATGCCTGTCATGTGGCCCTGTCCCTCCACCAATTGGCAGTGAGGGGTGGGGCTCCATGACAGCCTTTGCAGCCAATCAGTAGTGAGGGTTGGGCCCACATAAAAGGTAGCCCCTGCAGCCAATCAAAGGTGAGGGTTGGGGTCACCTTTAGCTGTGGCCCTGTAGCCAATCAGAGACATGGGAGGCCTGCCACACTCCACCCATGAAATGGCTGCCCAGGCCCCCCTTTCTGCTCATGAAATCGGGGACAGCCCCCACAAATTAGGTAGGTCTCTACCTTTAAGCTGCATGAAAATTCTGATAGAATTGTGATCTCATCCCATACAGCGTATAGTGGGAATACAAATGCCAGTTCAGCTCCCCCTCCACCACAGTGCTGGAATTCCCAGTGATGAAATCAGCCCTTTCTTTCCTCCCAGCCTGATCCAGTGACCTCCTGAACAGCACCTTTTATATTAAATGTCCTCAAGAGTCAAGTCCCGATTTAGATTCTGCCCCAACACAATCCATATTGCTCCCTTTTCTTTTTCTGATATTGAGGACTTCTGAGAATAAGAACTGCTGTTTCCTTCCACATGTTCTGTGGAGGTCCAGGCATGGTCGCTTTTCTTCCTAACCTGCACAAGCATCGAGATGCATCCATGTGGACACACTTAACAAGGGGTTCAGAATTAAGAAATGGCCCTAGCTTCTAGTGCCCCTCAGCTAGTGGTACAAATAAATTTCATGGACATCTTTCTCTTACGGCACTGCTTGTACTAGAGAAAAATGAGAACTCTGCCTTTTACTAAGTAGTATTTTATGTACTTAATTAAAACTGTATACTGAAAAACAGCGCTCCCTTTCTTGGGTCATTAGAAGCTTATTAGAAGCACTGCTCCTTGGCTCATTGATTAAACTTTCTTGAAGGTGTTAACTTAAAACAATCTGCCTTTTCATTGGGAGATTTAGTTTATTCCGAGTCAGTTTAATTCTCAAAGATTAAAAAATTTAACAGATGGGTATCAAATTACAGGTTTTATTGCATATAAAAGGGGTTTGCAAAACCGAATATTAATAAAAATGTTTTGACCTTTTTAAAAAAGCAAATAAAATGCTTGATTTTGTATTATAACAATAATGTATTAATTGAAGCTGTATGCTAGTTTACAACTACCAAACCTTGCTTTTATTGTCCAAAATGAATAAAATGTACATCTCAAATACCACTAGCGGTTAAAAACAAATCTGATATTTCAAATAATTTCAAATTTTAACCTAAACTTGTAATTTAGTGATGAGAATACTAGACAAGGGATTTTCTTTTCTCTTTAACTAGATACTTTCTTTTTAAAAAATTGCAGATCATTATAATTTTGGCAACCTTATTGTTGCCAAAATTACACAGAAGTGCCTTTAAACAGAGCCTGATTTATAGAATTTTTTTCTAATTATGGTTTATTATTGTAATGTGGAAACAGATGTTTTTATAGTTTGTGCTTTCAGTCTTTATAATGTATGCATGCCTCCTTGCGTCTTTGTTATACATTTATACAAACTATATAAGAAGTTTTATTATGGCTGCAAAGTAAAAAAACTAAAAAGCAAATGTTTGCCAGAGCTCAGGCTGCTGGTGAAATCTTAGTTTGGGCTCCTTTTGTGTATGCACAGAGATACAAATTTGAATTACACTGTTACAGGATATCTTTTCCTCAGAATCGCTTCCTCACTCAGCAGACAGAATAGAAACTGCTTGGTCAATGAGCAGCAGGTTTTTTGATATTCTTATTAGAGTGAGCTTATTTATTCATGTTCTTTAAATGCTGCTTTTGTACAATATTGTTCTTTTTTCATGGACTTTTATTATTATAGTTAAGGTACCTCAGTGTTTCCTAGCCAGTAATTAATCTTCAGAATATGAGATGACAAGATGATATTGTTAGCCTATATTAGAGATAGAGAACCAAGGCACAGAGGGAGTCGGTTCAAAAGTATTCACCACTGTCAGTTGCTTAGTTGCGACACATAGGACATGGTTTTAACAGAGCATTTAGCATTATATAGCAGTATACGTTCACAGCAAAGCTCCCCTTGACTTTAGCTGCAGATACGAATGCTCATCTCTTTTGCAAAATAGTCTGTCGTGGTCTCAAGGTGAGAACCCAGATGATGAGGAATGCCCACTTAGGGGATGGACAGGAATTCATTTGAAACATTAGGGCTAGGGACAGACATTACACATAAACCAGTTTAAGTGATCAGAAACTGGTTTAAACCTGTAACAGAACAGATGTTCAGTGTATATAAACCAGTTTGAAAATGGCTGAAACCGGTTTGAGATAAACATGGTTGAATGTAATATCAGAGTTAACTGATTTGGGTCAAACCAGTTTATGCAATGTCTGACCCCTTGCTTGTTTAAGATAAACCAGACTCCCCCACCATCCTGGCATGCTCTCTGGGCTAAGCAGGGCTCTCTGCTCCACAGTAGAGCTAGCCCCTCCCCTCTGCTTCCTGGCTGCAGCTCCATCAGAGACTGCAGACACAGCAGAGTCTGCCTGGCTTCCCCCTGCCCCCGACTTTGCTGCTTAAGTAGGAATCCCCCCTCCCTCCCATCTCCTACAGCATAGGCCCCAGCCCCATGGACCCTAAGCATGTGGTATGCTAGCTAATGCTGAGAGGTGTCTATGTGTGCATGTCTCCAATTTCACTGAGACAGGCAGACAGAACAGTGACTGCTTAGGGCTTTTTGGAGCTAATCAACAGGTCAGCTGATAAGCTGTTTAAGAAGGGTTTGAACTAATGGAGAAAGGCTGTTGTTTTCCTGATGAGGTGGTAAACACTGTTATCAGCCCCCTGCTGGCTTGCTCAGTTAGTTGCAAACAATATAAAGAAGCAGGGAGAGAGAGATGAAAAAGCTCTGTATCATCAACAAATGCATGCACTGCACACCCAACTTGCCTCAGAGTGCTAGCAGGGGGCTGGGGTTTGGCAATATTCCTGCCCCTTGAACAGCCAGCGGAGAAAAGCCTGGGATGGTGCAGGCAGTCCTCCCCAGTCAGAGATCCTGTCCATGCCTGGCCACACACCCCTCAGCTCAGCACTCTGGAATGGAAGGGAGGGCTGCTTTAGCACTCTGGGCTTCTAGCCTGAGCCACAGCGGGCATGTGCCTGAATGTCTTCAGTCCAGAGAGAATGTCTGTCCAGTTACAGACTGGTTCAGCCTAGCCAGGTTAGACTAACCTGCAAAGATTGACTCAATTCAGGCTCAGGCTTCTTGAATATCTGTCCCTAGCCTAAGAATCTGGGAAATTTGCAGTGCCACAAACACATGGCATGATCTACATGTACAGCCATTCAAGTACTTCAGAGTTCTGTAAAGCATGGCAAGACCATGTAATGTAATGAAAACTGAGGGAAATGCGTGACCTTTCTGAATGTTATGCAGCTAGTTCATTTTTTAGTTAGCATTAAGATGGTCAGGGTTTTTCATTCAGTGTCTTTAATTCCTTGTAGAGTAATTACTTGGTGTTTATGGCAGAGCTATTCTGGTGGTTTGAAGTGGTGAAGCCATCATTTGTACAGCCCCGTGCTGTTGTACATCCCCAAGGTAACTATTTTAATCATTTTTTTGTATTATGCTCATTATGCTGTGAAAACCCCATCATGTTCCTGTTGCCAGAATGTTCACAGATTTAATCTGCCAGTGAATTCTCATGGCTTGAAAAGAGACTGTGGAAAAATGACATATTCTCTGTGTGAATTATGAGCATATTTATTTGTAATTAACAAAAATTTCATCAGGCATCTGACTAAACCTCTTGTGTGTATACCATGATTTAGAGGATCAATGGTTGCCTACTACTGCAAAGCTCAGCGTGGGCAGGATTCCTCCTTTTCCTTCTCCTCCTACTCCTTTTCTTCCTCTTCTGCCTTCTATATTATAAACAGACTTTTTTCTTAAATAAAGACTTATCTGAAACAGGTGAATTTATGCTGAGATCATTACCTGTAATTTTCCCAATTTGGACAAACCCTAACTTCCAATTATTTACACCTGCATAAATCCTGTAGACATAACTGCAGACAGAATGTGACCCAAGGAACTTTAATTAGTGGGTGTGATACATAAGGAAAAGATCTTGAGGGGAGTGAACAAATTTAAACAAGTAACTACAAGCCAGGATAAAACTCTGCGCCTGCAGAGTGAGCAATCATCTCAAACAACTTTTTAAATTTGTCAAATCTGTCTTGGCAGATCTGTTAGGGACTGCAGAAGAAAGTTAAGAAGCATGTGCCACTTGCATGTATCACATGGTCTTGGCACTGGGACCTGTGATTTACACTGTGGTGGTGTTAAAATTTTACTCAGTTTTGTTTCATGTATGTATTGTATAGTATGCATAATATATGAAAAATAATTTAAATATTGCTTCCTAATTTAAAAATGAGGCCCAAATACAGTTTCCTAACAAGCAGTTTGTCAACGTTTTTCAATTTAAAAAGGCCTTTGTCCAAAATATATCTATTTAGAAAATGAGGAACTTTTGCAAAATTCCTTAAAACTTTTTGAGATAACAAAAATGTAGTATTTGTTTCCATTGTTTGGCTTTCCTCTCCTCTTCCCCTCCTCCCCCCCAAATCCCAGCTCCCCGTCCTGCTTTCTCCCTTTTTCAGGGGCTACACAGAAAAAGTAGATGGAAGAGTGAATAGTGGAAAAGAAACATTTTATAACACTTTTTTAACAAATTAAACTTTATCCTTCTGAATCATATGAAATGAAAGTTAAACGGGGGCATTTCATCCAGCTCTACTAATAAGGGTTTGAACTGAATGCTGAACTTAAGTAATTTGGAGTCTTGCCTTTCATTACAGCTGAATCAGTGAAAGATGCATCCACTTCTAGATTTATTGCCAACAGAAGAAACTACATGGGTGGCTCATGTGATTCTGACTTTATAGCCAGGTAATGTCAGAGCTTTTTAAATTGTGTTTTGTTTCTCTCACTTCTGCTTAAATTGAGCACAATTGTTCATGTGATTTCTGAAGGCCTTTCTAGAAGTGTCCAGAAGCTATATTATCAAACACAGACAAAGTCAATTTGTTATACATGGTTCCTTCAACATAGTGTAAAAGACAGTTAACAGTTCTGAATATCAGTCCCTCTAAATCCTTCTCAAATTGTGTCAGAATAAAGAATGAAAACTGAAGATACTGAGAAATGTTAGATTCTGAGAAATAATGTAGTTCTCAGGAATGGGCAAATCCAATTGCTCTAGCAGCAGACCAAAACCACTGTTGTTTGCTACATGGAGACCTGTTCCCTGCAACACTGCCAGTGCACCTTTGTCTATAACAGTGCACCACCTGGCCTCCAGTTTCTCTTCTGATCTTGCACAGTCCTGAGGTCACTCAGCTCCCATTTGTGTTAAAGGAACTGGATCTTTTTGGCAATTTCCAGATTTAGGCCCTTTAGCAGAGCTGACAGACTATCAAATGAGTAGATTGGGAACTAGGATGGAAGCACTAAACTTTCATTCACTTGTGAATTACATACTGTAGATAAGTGGAAATGAAAGATATAAGGCTTTACAGAGCAGGTTCCAGCAACAAGATTAATATAGAGAAGGGGAGTATACCAACTCACAAAGCAATGAAATGAATGCCTTAAAAGTAAAGCTTTTTGAAATGCTAAAGATTGTTGCTGGAGGGAGAAATGTTAGCGACAGGGAATGGGACTTGTTCCAGGGATGGAGCACTATGCTGATGGATGTCTTGAAAATATAACAATATGGCAATATACTTCATGGCTTTTGTTGGTAATCTGTATGAATGTTGCTAGTTTCTGGATAATTCAATATAGCTCAGTGATTCTCAACCTGGGTACCAAGGTACCTTGGGGTGCCATGAAGTGTGAGGAGATAAACAGATAAGCTAAGTAGAAAATGCAGGCTCAGGCTTGTCCCTGAATGATTCCTAACCCCGACTTCCAAGACCCTTTGTAAGGAGGTAAGCAGCATAATATATTTATTCGTTTTTGAAGTGGGATGCCATTTAATTCACACAAGATATGGAGGTGCCTTGAATCCAGTGTTTGGTGCCTTGAGTCCAAAAAAGGTTGAGAATCATTGCGTTACCTTTATCTAAAACTGGGAGTTTTGACTGAGGTATGGTGGTGCTCCAGCCAGTACTTAATCTCAGAGGTTTTTGGCTAGAGCAGTTGTTCTCAACCTTTTCAGACTCAATGTACCTCTCTAACTTGTCAGAATTTAGCAGAACTCCATTTAAAAAACTAATAGTACAAATATAATGTGAATAATATATTTTTAATATATTAGTGAATATTGTTATGTTTTACTAGCGCATATTCACCCCCTCAGGCAGACAGCAGGGTGCACTCTCTTGACTCTGACCAGCTTCATGCATGTTTGCTCTGAGTGTGGCACATGGACTCCCCACATGTGGCTCTAGATCACCCCTGGGGATCAGGGACCGGTGGACCAATCTCTTCCTTTTGACCTTTCTTTTGATGGAAGCAGAGAAGGATTTCAATTTATGGCATCCGGACATTCTATTTAATGCCTTTCACATTTCATTTAGGGCAACAGATTTATTGATTATGACTTTTGGACACAGGGGAAAGTTAGATAATTAGGTATCTGGTATACTCTCTTTATTTAGCTTACCCAGATAACTCTATTCAGTATCTTTGTTGACTTACAGAAATCCCTGCATGTTTCAAGCAGGGATAAGATTTCTTTAAAACCATTAGGTACTACTGGTTTGATTCTCATCTTACATGCACTGCTGTAAATCTGGATTAATTCTATCAAAAGCAATGGATTATATTAATGTAAAGCCAGGATGTGGGTGAAGAGAACCTGAATCCTCACCTTCGATTTCTTTTGAAAGTCCATAAGCTATTAGCAAATACCATCACTGTACTTAAAAAGCATGGAGTTTCATTATGAGGTGAAAACTGAATACTAGCATAGAAGGCAGTATATAACGTGCTCTTTTCAAGGACACGATTGAAGCCCTTCCTGATTTATCTCAGCTCTGGCAGAATCTTTTATGACACAAAAATCCTTGTTAAATAGAATGTACTCATTTGGAAGAGAAGAGATTCTGTATGCACACATGATTTTGGCTTCTGGACTGAAGAGTATTGACAGAGAGACGGAACAGAATTCCATTAATAGAAAGCTCCTAAAGGAGCTAAAGCTCCAGATCTTAGTGGGCTTTAATTTATCACTACTGTTAGGACTGCCAGTATAGCTATTGCCTGTGAGCTGCCACAACTGTGCGTTTTGTCATTTATGTGAAGTTTATAATAGGATCTCTGTTTCACGGAACAAGTTCAGAACAGAAGAACAAATCTTTGTAAGCCTCTAGTATAAAGAGGGATAGTGTATTGTCTGGGTTCATTATGGCAACAATTGTTAGTGTCTTTTTAGGAACAAGTTATCATTTTATGTTGGAATAGTATGAGAGCAGTAAATGGTAAAGTAATTGTAAGATCTATTTTTTATCCTGGAGAGATACTGTACTTCATCACAAGTAAATAGATTCATAGATTGTAAGGCCGGAAGGGACCTTGGAAGATCATCGGGTCCAGCCCCCTGCACTAAGCAGGAAAGATAACTGGGGGTCAGGTGACCCCAGCAAGGTGACTGTCTGGTCTCCTCTTGAAGATTTCCAGGGTAGGTGATTGCGCCACCTCAGTTGGGAGCTTATTTCATAGTCTGGACACCCTGACTATGAAGAAGTTTTTCCTAATGTTGAGCCTGAATTGGTCTTCCAGGAGTTTGTGGCCATTACTCCTAGTTTTCCCCTCGGGTGCCCTGGTGAACAGTTGCTAACCGAGCCCTTGATGTACTCCCCTAGTGTAGCAGCAAGCTGCTACCAGGTCCCCTCTCTGCCTTCTTTTCTTCAGGCTGAAGAGTCCCAGATCCCTCAGCCATTTCTTCATATGGTTTGCCTTGTAAGACTCTGATCATACAGATGGCTCTTTGGACTCTCTCAAGCTGGCAAAGGGTAGATTCAGGCTAGATATCAGGAGGCACTACTTCATGGTCAGGGCAGCTAGGATCTAGAACCAACTTCCAAGAGAAGTGGTGCTGGCTCCTACCCTGGGGGTCTTCAAGAGGAGGGTAGATTAACTCCTTGCTGGTGTCGTTTGACCCCAGTTCTCTTTCCTGCCATGGCAGGGGGTCGGACTTGATGATCTGCTCAGGTCCCTTCTGACCCTACAAACTATGAAACTAAGCTTGTCCATGTCCTTATTAAAGTGTGGTGCCAAGAACTGGATGCAGTACTTCAGCTGCGATCTCACCAGTGCTGAGTAGAGCAGAAGAATTACCTCCTTAGTTTTGCTGGAGATGCATTGATTGATGCATGCCAGTGTATTATTTGCCCTACTGGCTACAGCATCACACTGCTGGCTCATATTCGTACTGTTGTTTATTATTACCCCCAGGTCCCTTTCATTCGTGGTGCTAAATGAAAAGAGAATATAGGTTTATAATGTTAGAAAGCTAACACCTAGTGCCCAAATCACAGGCTTTTCTTAAGAGAACAAGGAGATCAGGATTTAAGTGAGTGTATTTGCTTTGAGTTGGCTAGGAAGTTTCGCAGATTATCCCAGTGAAATTCCGTATGGATGATTTCTTTGTAGAGTAACGTATAGGCAATTGGAGTTTGAAATAGGCGTTTCAACTGATTTCTATGGTAGTGGTACACCCTGCTGCCTTAGTGAGCTTCGGCCTAGAATTAATGTTAAATGGGATCTTCAGCAATAACAGAAGAGGGGTGTTTGTGCAATTTGCGTATGCACACATGAAAAATGCTTATTTGTAAAAGCATCCATGTTTTCCCTCATTTCGTAGTACTGTGTTCCTCATGCAGGTTTTTTTAGCAATGACCTTGTTAGTCTATGCAATGGATTATGCAAAACCAAATGAGCAGTGATTTGCTGTTCTCTGAAACAGATTTTGCCAGGAGTGCTTAACTGTCTTTTGCTAAACATGACTTCTTTTAATTAAACAAAAAGATTGTATTTTTGCAGTCATTAGAATAAAAAAGGAATTTTTAAGAATCCATCTAGATGTTTGTAATAAGATCAGTCATGTAGCGTATAGGTATAACAGGCAGCCCCTAACCCCTGTTATTTTGAGTGAGAGGTAAAGGCAGCATTATGTGGTTGCAAGACTGCTAGCAGCTAAAATGGTACCAGCTACAAAGAGACAAGCAGCAGAAAGGAGTTAAGAGTCATAGCTTGAAGACTGTAACAAGCTACCAACCACTTACCTGGAGAAGACATGAATATGATAAGGTGCTGAACTGCAGGCATCTATTTAAGTGGTGGCTGTGGCAGGGCTTTTGGGCTAATGAAACCCGCTGGACCCACTTAAGAAAGCAGGAGTCATGTGACCAGAATGGTTGAAACCTGGTGCTCTATAAGCCTAGCTCTTGAGCCAGAGCAGGCTTTTGGGCTTAGGACACAGGAGGGAGAAGAGCTCCCTGAAGTTTGCAGCAGAACATGGCCACTGGCAGCAGTAGCACAGGGACATGGCCGAGTGTCCAGGATGCACAGGTAGCAGCAACTCCTGGTTCCTGCCATGATAGTGATCATGTTTGCAGCCACATGGCTGCTGGAAGCAGCTGCTTTTTTTTCACCTCGCACCCCCAAGTCAGCACCTGGGGCAGTCCTCCTGTTTGTCCTGCCCTCATTACACCACTGCCTGGCAGCCTTGGAGAAAGAGTCCCTGGGAGTGCTGAGTGATCCCATAAGTGTGTTTGGAGGGGACCAAAGCTATGGGCGGTTGGTGCCAGCCAGCAGCAAGCAAGAAACCTAGAAGGGAGGAAGCCAGCTGGAAGTGAAGGGAAGAGCCTTAGGGAAAGGCAAACCTAGGCTTATTGCTAGGTTACATGTATAGGGAAGAGCCCTGGAAAGGGCAACCCCAAGCTATAGGTGAAAATGGGGGATTGCCTAGGGAAGGGCAACCCCCAGGTTAGATGAACATTGAGATGACAGCCATGAGGCATGGGGTGACTAGTAAGGGGTGAATGGAGGCCACATGGGGCACCCTGGTGAAGATACTCTGGAACATTTCCTTCTACCAAGAAAGGTTGCCCCATGAACCACTCCAAGCATCCAGCAGAGGATGCTGTGTTACACAGAACTGAGGATGGCCAGTAGGAGGCAATTTGAGCCCAGGGGCTGCACTGGAGACAGCTGAGGTTGGATCAGGGGCCTGTGAAACTCGGGAAGGGCTGTGACTAGATGTGGCTCATGGTACTATGTTAAAGGGAATAGGCAGGCAGATTTATTTGGGTAGATGTTGATATCTTTTATCAGACTAACTGAGTAGTTGGAAAAAAGTTTTTTGCAAACTTTCGAGGACAAGCACCCTTCTTCAGGCATTGGGAGACTCTGCTGCTGTTCTGAGATCTCCAAGGTAGGAAAGAAGCCGATGTTGAAGGGGAAGCAGTTGAAGGGGAAACAGGCCTTGGAGAAACTGTGCAGGGCAGGGGCAGAGAAGCACTGAGGACTATGCTGAGGGGAAGAAGAGCCCTAAGGACTGTGCCAAGAGGGAAAGCACATAAAGGGGCTTCTCTGACTTCTAAAGGCACCCCCACTCTCCCCAATCCATCATGACATTTAACATTGGCAGGCAGGAAATAAGATGTGCTACAGAGGCCAGAGACCATAGCAGGCTAATCTGACTGCCAAGGGGCAACCAACTCCAGGGTCAGAGCCCCAAACCTGCTAAAGTAGTTAGCTGAAATAAAGTAGTATATAAATAACATCTGCTGAATTGGAGCATAATAATGTAAGTGTGTTTCTGAAATACACAACCATCACATAGTAAGAACCTCAAAAAGAGAGATTGGATATTTATCACTGAGACAAAAATGTGAAGACCAAGTTGTGACAGGCAAAGTTCTTTGGGTGAATCCGATATCTTTTATTAGATTAACTTAAATAGTTGGAAAATAACATAAGATATCAGATTCACCCAAAGAACCTTGTCTGCCTATGTCCTTAGACCAAAACAGCTACAACCTATACCACAAGATCATGTTGTAGAGTTCTAAATATGAAAGGATTTATTCTAATAGCGATTGAGGGGAAAAAAAGCATTTTTCTTGCTAGCAGCATAAATATGGGAAGCACAGTAGGAAGAGGCAACAACCTGTGACTGCTCTGTTAACCCCCTGTTAAGCAGGTTACCTAAACTGCTGGCTTCTGCAGGCAGGCTTTTGCTCCCCGAGAAGCTCCTCCACCAGTCCTTTTAATGTATTACAATCTTTAGGCAACAAATAAACCAAAAAATAAACAAAACAAAATGAAAACTCTTCTGCCCTGTTCTGAGTGATTGAGGAGGAGCCCTTTGGCTCTGGCTTCCATCACGGCAGCCTGGCCCCGTTCTTATAGCAAGCAGTTTCATTCACAGTTTGCTTCTTCCCCTTCTGTTTACTCTTCTGGAAGATTTTTAAGCTCTGAGCAGGACAGTCCCTGGCTATCCAAGGGTATTTTTACACATGTAAGCACCTCAGCACCAGGCACTTTGAAAGGCGCCTGGTTGTATACGCAGCAAAATACGTGTCAGCGCTGAGAAAGTGGCGGCGGTGCACTTTTGAACTAAAACACCTCGGGGGGTGCTTTAGTTATAAAACGCACCACTGCCATTCTCTCTGCACTGATGCGCATTTCACCACTTATACAACTGCATGTGGCACAGTGCAGTGCACGTCAGCTCACATGCAGAGCAGACTCGATTAATCAAGTCTGCTCCAAAGCAGTAGATCCCCAACACATCGCAGGACAGAAAGGTAGGTATATAAATGCCCCAGATGCCCTGCAGCTAGCCTCTCAACATGGTTGAGTGTTCCCTCTTAAAGGAAAAAAACACCCTGTTACATCCCCTAGCTGCTGGCTGGTGGTGAACAGTTCCTTCCTCAGCAGCAAGGGCTGTCCCAGGATCAGCCTAAGGGATACTGCTGCTACTGCAGTTGTCCATGACCAGCCAGGGGATTAATGGAGCAACCACAGGGTGTTGTTCCTTCCTGCTGCAGTTGCCTATATATATCTCTCTCTCTCTCTCTATCTATCTATATCTCTAGATAGAGATATAGATATATCGATAGAGATATAGATATCGATAGAGATAGATAGATATAGCTAGATAGATATATAAATAAAATTATAGAAAGTTAGGGTTTGAAGGGACCTCAGGAGGTCATCTAGTCCAACCTCCTTGCACAAAGCAGGACCAGCCCCAACTAGATCATCCCACCCAACCATATGCTGCTGGCAAGCAAGAAAATACAGTGCAACTGTGCCCTGGAACACCCACAAGCCCAGCCCTAGGTGCCCTAGAAAGGCAGACTGCATGCAGCCAGCTCCATCCCCAGCAGGCAGACTGCACCTGCAGCCCCAAGTGAGGCAGTGTACACTGAGGTAGGCACTCCTGTCTTTCACTTGAGCCATGCACCCCAATTTCCAGCAGTTTATTTTTTGCAGGGGAAAAGTATGCTGTGCAAGAAAACATGCTTTGGGAGTTTGGCTCTTTAAAAGTTTGGTAAATCCTTCTAAAAATGTATTTGTCATTCAGATGCTAAAGCAGCACAGGGATTATTAGCTTGTTGAATTAATGAAGCCTTTCTAGATTAAAATACCTAGTTTAGTAATGTCTTTTTCTTTGAATCAAACAAATGAGCATCTGTTGTATACTTAGCAGAAATAAAGCAAACCTTTGAAACTAATGGTTCTGTAGTAAAAGCATTAGTTATAGTTGCAAAGACATTAGCACAGATCACATTTTTGCCACCTCATGCATATAAATATTTGGACAGTTACAAGCAATTACAAAAAGAGGTGTATGATGATACTGTTCTTGTAACCTGTCCTATAGGTACTATCAGCTGTGGACAGCAAGACACGGCCTTTGTTTGTTTTTTTTATTATGTATTTACAATCTATCAAACCCATAGAAGTGACGTTTGTAAGAAAATATTAACATGAAATAAGTCAAAAGACAAATGTTCTACCAATAAGACATTTTCTGTCGCCATTTTAGAAAGCTGCAGAATAACTTCCTATTTAACTTCATTTCTTTTCTAAGGTGGAAATTCAGATGCTTGTATTATTTCAGTTAATAGATTTATGTTTTTACAACAAAATTCTTCTCCCTTATACAGAAAATTATTTTTTTGTGCTGTCCCAGAATACAAATGCAGCTGCATTTTTGCAGTGTCTTAGAGGTATTACATAATTTAATATGCTTTTCCTTGCAGTGTGGAGGGTCAAACTTTTACACCGTCTCATCAACTTATGGCTTCTAGACATACACACCAACAGCCTTATTCAACTGCTCCAGGTAACAGCTTTGCACCCAGGCTTGTTCATTTGATTCTGTTTTATGAACTAGATTACATTCATCATATTAATATTCTTGTAAATGTTCTTCATGAGGAATTCTTGGCTTCATTGGGAGAGTCACAGATGGAAGCTTAAGATTGGGCCTATAATTTTTTTTTAAATAAATGTACCTTGGTAAGTGCTTTTTGCAAAAAAAAAATTGCCTCTATCCATTTAATGGAGCTTGGTTTCTGTTTTGACTATGTGGAACATGGCTTGTACCCATTATTGTATAGCATAATGAACATTTTTATGGAGCAATAAAATTACCTTTATTTTCTAAGGGATGGGTATAGTGTGCACAGTGGAATTCATTAACATGATTGATATCCTGTTGTTCACATTAAAGTAAAAAGCAATTTAAACAAAACAAAACAGAAAACAAAATCAAAGCTTGATCACTTGCTACTGTATGAATAATTAAAGTAACTGATTTGTTATACTAATTTGAGCTCACTTAAAAATGTTTTTCCAAGTATTTCCATAAGTATTAACTTGGATACATTGCTTTATTTTAATTTCAATTAGGAGTTATTAGAAGGTCCACATCTATGTCATATATGGATGGGTATGTAGGAACTTGGCCCAAAGAGAAAAGGTGAGTAATCATTATATAGGAGGTGTTTTAAGAAATAATGATCTATAGCTGTCATCATTTGGACTTTCAGTAGGCCTTTGAGAAAGTTCACCCAAGAACTTGGAGAATCAAGTACTCAGAAAAAAGAAAAGCAATATTGTGTATTAGAAACTTGCTAACAGAAAATTGAACAGGAATAAATGTGAGTTTTCAACATTTGCAAGAGATGGGGACAGCTCCAACATTTTGTAATGGATGCGTGGTGTTAAATATACTTTATCTTACCTGATTCTAAGATGACTTTCAACTTAAGATGAACTCCCCACAATAATTACATTCTGTATGTGGGAAATTTTATATATTTGTTAAAATCTTTCATATATAGAATCTAATTATTGGAGCGTCATCGTAAATGTATCGCCCTCCCTCCCCCACTGCAGCAGAGAAAGCAGTGCCAGGGAGGTGAGGGAGGGGAGGCAGTAGGCAAGCAGGTGGCTGGCGGGGTGGCAGTGGGGAAAGAAAGCAGCATGACCTCTGCCTTTTGCCTTCCCCACACCTTACCCCCTGCTGCCTGTTCCACTTGTATCCCATGGTGCCTACCCAACCCATCAGTTCATGCACACCCAGCACCTGCCCCTACTGTTTTTGCCCCTCACTCCTCCATGCCTACTCCCCTGCCTGGTCCCCAGCTGCTGTCTTCTCTCTCCTGCTGCCTGTGCACCCCACAGCCTCTGCCTGTTTGCCTCACTCCCCGACCACTTACCCTCCAGCTCCCCTCCAAGCCAGGGCGTAGAGTTGCTCCAGCCGCAGCCTGGTTATGCAGGTGTTGCAGCAGCAGCTCCAGTCAGAGTCCAGGCTGGAGCTGCTGCCACTGCTACTGTACTGGGCTGGAGCAACCATGTGCTCTGTGTCCCTGGCTGGAGTGGGACTGGAACCAGGGGGCTAGCCAGTCAGAAGGAGGAAAGGGGGTGGGGGGGAGCTGCAGCTCTCGCCCCAACCCCAGGTCAGGGCTGCAGATAGAGCTACAGCAGCTGCCTGCCCCACTGCCATCTTGTACTCCAGTCCAAGGTAAGGGTTTTTTTCCTCCCATATTAAATAAAGAACCTCATCTTGGATTCAAGTAAATACAACAACTAAAAAGTGACAATAGAAGGCCACCTGGCCATCAACTCAAGATAGAAAAGTACTATTATGTAGATCAGTACAGACAGATTAGACTAGAAAGGGTATATGGTTTTATACTAAAGAATGTAAGCCAACTGCTAATTAGTAAAAGTTGGAAATAGACTCGCTGCTGTCAGAAACAGGATTAGAAGGACCACAGCTATGATCCAGTATGGCAATTTCTGTATTCCTCAAAGTTCTTGGGTTTATTCCAGATTGCCAGTAATATTAATTTGTGTATGTGTGAAGTTAAGATGTATAAGATGCATAAGCATAGCTTATTTAAAGTAAATGTAGTTTGAATTAAAGGAAGGTATAAAAATAATAAAAGAATAATATTGGATAATTAAACTTGCTTGTTTGTAATATGTTACTATCTTATGAAACTAATCCATTTTCATGAGCACTACAACTTTAGAAGAATATTTAAATGTATATGATTTTTTAAAAATATATATGAATTATGTTACGCCTTTTTATTTTCGTCCCATTTAGATCATCAGTGCATGGAGTTTCCTTTGACATTTCTTTTGATAAAGAAAATAGCATTCAGATATCTACTCCAAATAGAGGAATTACTAGATCTGTTAGTAATGAAGGTCTTGCACAAAATAACACCCGCGTGCCCAAACACATTAGGAAAAATCTGTCCTTTAAGCCAGTAAATGGTGAAGAGGAAACTCAAGATATTGAAGAGGAAAAGGACATAGTATCTCCTACCGACCCAGAAGTCAGTGCATCTCTAAATACAAATCAAAGAAATGCCAATGAAAACAACCAGTACAGACTTCCAAATGGAGCTTTGCAAAACAGGGCAATTTTGGATGATTTTGGCAATCAGATTGAGACCCCGAGCATTGAAGAAGCTTTGCACATAATACATGACACTGAAAAATCTCCTGGTGTTATCCAGCCAGACCAAATAACAAATGGGTTCTTTCTTCATAACCAGGAAATGAGCATTTTTAACTCAAACATTAAACTAAATCAGCCTAGTCCTGATATCATCATAGACACAAAAGGTGCTCTGAGTCCAGTGACTGACAATACTGAAGTGGACACTGGAATACATGTTCCGTCAGAAGATATTCCTGAAACTATGGATGAGGATTCTTCTTTGAGGGATTACACGGTGAGCATGGACTCTGACATGGAAGAACCATCTAAATTTCTTCAAGATTATGATGTACGAGCTAGTAACCAGAGAGAGCAATTAAGTCCCTGTCCAAGCTCAATAAGTACCAAATCACAAGCAGGCAGCAGTGCTTCTTCAAGCTCAGGAGTGAAAATGACCAGCTTTGCAGAGCAGAAATTTAGGAAACTGAATCATACGGATAGCAGAAGCAGTGGAAGCAGTTCGCAGAAAACTACCCCAGAAGGTTCTGAGCTGAATATTCCTCATGTAGTTGCTTGGGCTCACATACCCGAGGAAACGCCCATTCCTCAAGCAAGAGACACTACGCAGTTGTTGGCCTCTGAAATGGTCCATCTTAGGATGAAACTGGAGGAAAAAAGGCGAGCCATTGAAGCTCAGAAAAAGAAAGTTGAAGCTGCCTTCACTAAGCAGAGGCAGAAAATGGGAAGAACAGCATTTCTGAACGTGGTGAAAAAGAAAGGGGATGGAATATCACCTCTTCGAGAAGAAGCCGTCGGAGCTGAAGATGAGAAATCCTTCACTGAAAGTAGTAGACTGAAAGAAAAAGAAGCTCAAAAACCAGGTGAACGAACTAGTAAAACTATGGAGGTAATAAAGGAAAGCACTGAAAATTCTCAGTCCAAGACCCCTGCCACACCCGTGGATTCTGAAAAGCAATGGAATTTGGCAAGTCCCTCAGAAGAAACTCTAAATGAAGGAGACATTTTAGAATATACAAAATCTATTGAAAAATTAAATTCTTCTCTACACTTCCTACAACAGGAAATGCAGCGCCTCTCCCTTCAACAAGAGATGTTGATGCAAATGCGGGAGCAGCAAGCCTGGGTTATTTCACCTCCTCAGCCTTCTCCTCAGAAGCAAATTCGAGAGCTTAAATCTTCATTGAGGCAAACAGGATCATCATCTCCCACTGCATCATTTTCCATGGAATCTCCTCGCCCTACTCATCAATCCCCGCAGTCTTCTAACAGAAAAAATGCCTCTTTTCCCATTAAGATGCAAAGGACTCCTAGGCCAAATGAACTGAAAATAACACCTTTAAATCGCACCTTGACTGCTCCACGGTCTGTGGACAGTCTTCCTCGTTTAAGAAGATTTTCTCCAAGTCAGGTTCCCATTCAGACTAGATCATTTGTTTGCTTTGGGGATGATGGGGAGCGTGTAGCCGAACCTCAGTTAAAGGGAAACCTTTTGAAAGAAGTCAAATCGAAAGAGGAAGTAGCAAAAGAAGAACAACAAAAACAAAAAGGGGCTTTGGAGGTGCGTGAACAAAAATCAGAAGAGAAGGAGCTCAAGCCTGTTGAATCTAAGGTTTCTGAAGTGTTATCTCAGCCAATCACAGAAACTGTCTGCCTCACACCAAATGAAGATCAGCTGAGCCAACCAGTTTTGCCAACTCTCACTCCTAAAACAGCTAATTTAATTGAAGTTTCCCTCTCGGATTTAAAACCACCTGAAAAGGCTGAAGTCTCTGAGAAATATGAAGGTGAAAGTGACAGAGAACAATTCGAGGATGACCAAAAAGTGTGTTGTGGATTCTTTTTTAAGGTAAGTGAACTAAAATGGTGCATGTTTGTTGGGCAAGTTATCTTTTTCCAAGGGAGCTTTTTAATTCAGAGATGGCACTTCAGTAACCACTGAGGTCAGTGCTTCAGAGTGCTGTGATGTCCTTGGTATTTGACTCTAAAACCTTCACGGCTCATGCTTGGTTTGGGACCATTGGAGCTTTCATAGCAATTTTGAATACAGAAGATCTCTTCAAATTAACAGTCTTAAAAAGGTGTTTCGGAAGTATTGGGGGTCAGGAAGATGTTTTAATGAATGTAGATTTTATTTTATTTTTTACCATAAATTATTAATGCACACACTTAATAAGCTGCCTACCCCTCACCTTATCCCAGAATTGATCTTGGAAATTTCTCCTTGGAGTACCTATCTTCTTAGAGTTTATTTTCAAATTTAAGCAGAATTTCAGTCAAAGCGTGTTTTTTGTTTTTATTTGTGTTGTTGTTTTGTTGGGTTTTTTTAAAGGTAGTTTGAATGCTAGAAGCTAACAATGTTTTGAATGCAGGCGTCAAAGCTTTTCTTGGAGGGCAAAAGATTTTGCATTCCACTGAGTCATTTATCTAAAGTACGGGCAGGCAAAATATGGCCCATGGGCTGGATCTGGCCCACCAGGCTATTTCATCCAGCCCATAGGCAGGTGCCTACCAATTCACTGTATCCAGCCTGGCCCCAGGCTGCCCCTTCTGGGCTCACATGGGGCCAAGCCCTGTTCACTTCTACAGGGGCAGTCCATGCTCTGCTCCCACCCTTGCCCATGGGATGACCCTGACCCTGGCCCTGCAGGTGGAGAAGTGGTGGCAGATGGGGGAGAGGCAGTGGCAGCAGGCAGAGAAAGTGATGGTGGCGGTGGCAGCGGCAGCAGGGGCAATTGGCAGTGGGTGGGCGGAGGGAGGAGAGGGGACTTCAGCAAGGGCAGGGGACAGGTAAGAAGGTAGGGAAGTAGCAGGGGGAGGGTGGCAGCAGTGGTAGGCAGGGACAGAGGGTAGGAATGGTGGCAGTGGCAGCGATGGATGGTGGGAGTGGGAGTGGTGGTGGCGGCAGTGGCAGAAGTGGTGGTGGTGGGCAGGGGTGAAGCAACAGCTGGCCGGGAGCGTGGGGCCCGCACCAGAGCCCTGGGTGGAGACGTAGGGTGGAGCGGCAGGAGCATGGAGCTTAGGCCAGCGGGGGTGTGGGGTCTGCCTGGCTCCATCACACAAGGCTCACATGCAGTTCCCAGGTTCTCCACCCAAACTGCACACCTTTGGGGGAGACCCATGTGATGGAGCTGGTGGCCCATGCCCAGTTCATGGAGAATGGTGGGGAGCTCTGTGCTGTGGAGCCAAGCCAGCTCTGCCCCTCTCCCTGCCATCCTAGCTGAGCCCCATGACCTGCACCACTGGCTTCATCACATGGGGCTCAGGCGCATGAGACCCACACATGGGAGCCAGGAGAATCCCATGCCCTAGCTGGCCCAGGCTCTGTGCTCCTGCTGCTCCACTCCAGGTTCCCACTGGCCCCAGGGCACTGGTATGAGCCCTGCACTTCCACCCAGCTCACCATGACTGTGCACTGCCAGTGGGCTCCACCTGCTACTACCGCTGGCAGCAGGGGCTGTGTGCAATGTGGGGGCATGTTTGTAGGGAGGGGCATCACATCCACAGCCCCCCACACATCCCCCTCAGCCATCTTCTTCCTCCATACACCCCACAGCCCCACCACAAACCCCATACACACCCACACATCCCCACAAACACACCCCCTCACAAACCTCCCATACCCCCACACACACACACACCCATTGGCAATACATAGGGGGTACACATGGGTGTACATGCACCCCTGGGATTGGTGGTGCACCCCCCTTGATCAGCTGCTGCCAATGCTGCTAATGGCACCTGTGGGCAGTCGCTCGCTGCCTGTTCCCACCCCTCCCACCCCACCCCGCCGACACTGCTGCAGCTGCTACGGGCAGTCACTGTGCCCCTCCAGCTTCCAGGGACATGCATCATTCATGCCCACACCCCACATACCCACACAAATGCACACATGCACATGCCCCCCCAGCCATACCCCCTTAACCTCCCCAATATACAAGAATAAGACTTCATTTTGAGCTATTATGCAATCACCTCTATATACACAGTGTAAGCATACAAATTAGGACAAAATATGTTTTGAAGTAAAATTAAAATAAGTAATTGTAGATGTTTGATTTTTAATATATAACTCAGGGGAGGGGTTCTGGTTCCAAGATGGCAAACCCCCTTCCGAAAAGGAGTACTTCTGGGGGCAGTGGGAGGGACTTCTGGTAGAAAAGGTCAGGGGTTTGAGGCAGGACTTCTGGTGCCAAGATGTTGACTGGGGGCAAGGCACCTGTCAAGGGGTGGGGCTACCCTTGTTGCCCTTGACAGCTTGCCAAAACTCTTTTAAGTGGCTCTCCAGCCAAAATAATTGCCCACCCCTGATCTAAAGTGGTCTTAAACTAGGATTGCCTTATTTTCCATGAGCACAGTATTAACGTTTGCTGTTCCCCCTTTTAATTCATTAGTGCTATTTCTGTTCTGCATCTAGTATAGGCAGAAGTTAGGGCAGGGTGGTACCTTGGCTACTAACTGTTCCAGAGAGACATGAGCTTTCATAGGCAACAGCCTACTTCCTCTGAGGCTATGACCGGGCTTGCAGAAATAAAAGGTTTTCAATAGAGAAGAATTTAAATGCAAAGGAAAGGGGTTGGGGAGGGGTCATTGCTGAAAGAGACAAAAAGTGAGTTGAAAAAATCAATAGGGTAAACAAAGTAATTAACACATTGAGGGGCATAGAAATAAACAGCTGGAGTGTTCCTTCCTCCTAGCACCCCCTTCCCCGCCCCCCCAGCATTACTCACAGACAGTGCTTCTTCATGTCAGCTGCCTCCTAAACTAGAAGCAACATAGCTTCCAGGGTTGCTGGAACCAGGGCACAGGGTTAGTTCACACCTCCATTTAGCATCTGATGAAGTAGAGTTGCTTACCAAAGCTTATGCCTCCCTTAACTAATTAGCCTCTAAGGTTCCCCCAAACCTCACCTGCTTGGTTCTAATTAACTGTCCCAAAGCACTATGCAGGTGTGCGTACACTGCTTCCAGTTCAGGGGGTATCCTGCAAAGAGCAACACAGCATATTTGAGGGCACAACAGCCTGCCATAGTAAATTAACTATGTAAACATGTCCTTAGAGAAATAATGGCAAGTCATACCATCTCCTGTGTTTTTAATGTTCCCTAAATCCACCATTTGCAAACGCATTGGAATTATTTGCATTCATGTGATGTGTTGATTTTTTTTGTATTCGCTAATACAAACACTTGCACATGTGTAGAGTCTCACTCAAGCTTATGGGACTCTGAGTGCAAGGGTTTGTATTGTTGGAACTGTGTGGGACTGACATCTGAACCTATGGTAGCTTCACTGAATATTTATTTTCTGGCTTCATTATCGTTCTTGATGTTTGACTTAGAAGAAGCAGCTCCTTTTAGGGAAAGTTCTTGGCAGGTTTTTTTTGTTTGTTTGTTTGTTTTTTTTAGGAAACTACCTTCAGTAACTAGAGATGAAATCAAATTAAAATATGTTTAAATTTGTCAGAAAAGGTAATATTACATATTTTTCTTTTTTTTATTCTGCCTTTTATGCTGTTCTTCAAATCTTTTTTGAAACTATGGAATATATAGGGTTGAGGTCAACTCATTTGTTTATTTTGGTTCACAGCCTTTTGACTTGAGAAGGCTTTGTCGATTGTGACTTTACATATGCACAAAGTTCAGAGGCCTGTTTGCATAATTAGTATCTTATTTTATAGTTTTGTCTTCCTTACCTTCCTTCTGCCTGCTGACAATCTTTGCTGATATTCCAGATCCTGAAGTAACTATAAAATTGTGACTTTTGAGTGCAAAGTCATTTTTATGCGGATAAACTGCAGAACTTCGAATGTTTTAAGTGCGTTCAAGGACGTTTCTAAGAAATCGGTATAGGCCTAGTTAATCTTCTGATGTCACTCTACCTATGCAGCACTCTACATGTGCAAAGCATTATATGGACATTAATAGTGCAGTAGTAACATTTTAAAGATACTTAAGTTCCTGGTGTGTGTGTGTATAAAATATTTTAAAGAGTCAAGAGGAATCTGGTGAATTTTGTGCCTGCTCTTTAGTGATGGATCTCCTGTGAAGCAGGCAAAAAGCAAGTCACTTTCCATATACCCTGGGTGCTCAACCCCTGGCCCGGGGGTTAGATCTGTCCCACAGAGCCATGTCATCCAGCTCTCCAGGTTCCCCATGGATCTGAAAATTTGGCAGCAGGGGAGTAGTGGCAGTATCAATTTCCACTCCCCCCACTGCCAAATTTCTGGACCCGTGAAGAGCCTGTCAGGTCAGATAGCATGGTTCTACATGCTAGATAGGGCATGCAGGGCCTGATCCAGGAGCTGACTGCAAGAGATCCTTCCTTAGAACCTGCCCCATACTACTTATCTAGCCCATGGTGCAGAAAGGTTGAGCACACTGCCATACATAGTTGTCAAGGCTTCCTGGATCCTCAGCTCCATTGTACCAGCCTGGCAGGTTAGGTCTTTGACAGTCTTGTCTGGTGGGCTTATGGGAAGCAGGGAGCCTAGAAGCTCCAAGGCTCCTGGCTCTGGGGTAGTGAGGTGGCAGCTGGGCTTGCAGGAAACCAGGCAGGTTCATCAGGGGAAAAAAAAGCGAAATGGAAATGTTGCCACAACTTTGGCAAAGTGGAAAATTCCAACAAAAATTATTTTGTTGACATCTTGGCTGATCTCTGAGCTTCTTCTAATACAAGCTGCTGTGGCTCAACATGGAGGTAGCAGCAGATGTCCTCTGCTGCTGCTTCCCAAGTGGCTGTTTCCCCTCATTTTGGTTTGATAGATCTAAACACATGCAACACACAGGGCATGTATAGTGGGGGCACATGCCCCTCCTGAGATTGGCCCTCACCAGCCCGGGAGTGGGGGCGCCGAGAGAAGCGCTGGTGACACTTCCAGCTTTGCTGCTGGTACTTCCAGTTTTGCCACTGGTGCTTCTGGGGTCGGTGATCGCCACTAGTGTAATCTTGTTGTTATAAGGAAGGTGTAAATTCTTATTTGAAATAAATGAATAATGTCTAAGTATACCAGGAGAAGTGTGGGGTCTCGAGTTTGATTTGGTAGTCAGAGGAAGATGCTTAAAAGTTCTTTCAATATAATTAGTAGGTTATAAACATTCTTAAAAAAGAGATTTCTAATGACTTGAAGAAGTTCAGCTGCAGGATCCAAATGCTCTAAAATTTTTAGACCTCTTTTCTTCTGACTTGTTGCTGCTAGGATGATCAAAAGGCAGAAAATGATATGGCAGTGAAACGGGCAGCATTGCTGGAAAAGCGGTTGAGAAGAGAAAGAGAGACTCTACTACGAAAGCAGCAGCTGGAAGCAGAGCTAGAGCATAAGAAGGAAGAAACAAGGTAAAACTAATTGCACATGCTAATTACAACATAAACAAGAATAACGTGGAAAACTTTACTGTGGCTAAAATTGTCAGTGGTATATCAGAAATTCTGATCAAAATACAGTGTGGCCACTGTTTCCCGTTTTATACAGCAAACCTTTTTCTCCATTGTAAGCCCAATACTTTTTATTTAATCTTTTCCTTAAACTAATTAAAGAGAGATTTGCTATTGGCAAGGTTAGTGAAAGATGATCTTCTGTCCTGTGTATATATTCATAATCCCGCTTGAATTAAAAGATATTTAAGTATTTGAGAGTACAATTTGACCCATAGGGCTTGGGAAGACAACACATTTGCACTGACGTAACTTATCAGTTCTGTATGGCAACATGAATTACTCCAGAATCCAGACCAGGTATCCCAGTGTAGCTATATGAATTAGGTGGTAATACCACCTTAGTCAGGGACCAGATAATAGCCTTGCTCACACTGAGCAAACAGCTATATTGAGTTAAATTGCAGATGGACATCACCTACCCCTGTGTATTTTGCAGCACTATAGTTTTACCTCTGATTTGTCCTCGGATAATTCTACACTGGATTCAAGTAAATTGCACCAGTTTAGAGCTATATATCATCTATCCATTCCTTTTATTTACACAGTATGATCAGGATTTGCAGTAGTGTTACTTGCACATGTCCAGACTTGGGCACAGCTTCTCAATCCAGTATTAACGTAATTTGGGAGGCTCTTCTTCAGTGTAAATTGGTAGCGTTCAATGGCTGAAGAAACAGCCCTGGACTTTGTTTTCCTTATAAAATAAGCTACATCTTCAAAATCTATAGTGCAAATAAAGGTAGATTCTCAGCATTGAAGTGGGAAAAATGAAACTCCAGATCTAAATAATGTGAAGCATATTGTTATAACATGACACAGGGGTTTTAAAATCTGTCAGAAAAAAGTGAATAAGCCAAAATTGAAAGTTTGGCTCCTTCTAGTCCAATGTTTCTCCCAATCCATTAAGTTCAGATCCCTGCATTCACAAGCAACCACTTATCACTGAGTCCTTAAAGCATATATTACAATTCCTCAAACAAATGCTATAATCACAGAGCCTATTTCAAAACTGAAACACTGCCACATGCCATAGGTAGAAGTCGGGAGAGGCCAGTGCCTTGTTACAGCAATGGCAGAGAAGTAATTTGACTCTGTATTATACCTGTATATATAAATGAGGGCTTAATATTGCTTTTACAGTGGCACTAGTATGTCCTTGTCTCAACTGAATAGACCCTTTTTACTGCATCCTAGAATTAAAATAGCCTTGGCAGCTCATAACAATCCTCTGATCAAGCAGTGCACTAGGTCCCTCTCTTTCCAACTCTATAAGCCCCCATCTTAGACTATAGTGTAAATTCATGATATTACATTTCATGTTGTTTCATGTTTACTCCACAAGGTATTATACATTTTTTGTAAGATATTCTGGCTCACCTCCATATTGGCAATGCCCCCCCAGCTTAATGTCCTCTACAAAATTCATAAGCACACTTCTAGTTCCTGCACCAACATTGCTGATGAAAATGTTAGGCAAGACAAAGCCCAGGATGAATCTTAAGAACATCACTAGTAGCCACTTCCCATGCTGGTAACTTACCTTTCAACATTATCATCTAATTTCTCAAGAGGCATGATGTTGGAAGCTATGCTTAATTGTAGATAGATTGGGTCTACTTCATTGTCCTTGACTAAGAAGTTATTCAGTTGTCATTCTGTCCTAGAAAGTCAGTCATTCTGTCACAGAAAGAGGCAAGACCTCTTTCTGTGGATAAAACCTTGCCTTATTTTGTTTATTTCCATATCTTTTATAATGATTTATTTCAAAGTTTTCTGCTTAACTGATGTTTTCTTAGGCGCAAGACAGAGGAAGAACGTCAGAAGAAAGAAGATGACAGGGCACGCAGAGAATTCATTAAGCAAGAATATATGCGACGGAAACAGTTGAAGCTTATGGAGGAGATGGATACTGTAATAAAACCACGCCCACATTCATCTAAACAAAAAAAGCCACGTCCAAAATCAATTCATAGAGATCATATTGAGTCACCCAAAACTCCAGTCAAAGGTCCACCAGGTAACACATGTCAGTGTTAGAAAGAGTCTGTTCATTCTAAAACACCAGCTTGATTTGCCCTACTAACCAAAATGTGCATTGATTAGCATCATATGCTAAACTGATGTACAATTTTTGAAGTTGCATGTGATTGAACTGGGCTAATAAAAGTAAAACTTTCAAACGGCAGTTAAAAATGACAAATGTTACTGACTTACTATGCGTGCATGCATATAAGAACAAACAGATGTTTGCTAGATGAAAACCAGCTGAAGCACCAATGTATGTGATTTGTATTGTGCGCATCCATGTCTTCTTCCCAGCCACTAACCTCTTCTTGCACCTGTAGAGTTAAGAATGAGTAGAACATTTGGGAGATAAAAGATTGATAATTAAATGATGACTATCAGGTAAGAACCCTTAAGCTGCTGCTTTAACATAGACAGAACTAAAAACTAACAGTAAAGTTTCCTTTACACTTTGGCCTTTTTTCTTATGTCTGCTTCATTTGGTTCTCTTACTGCATGTGTGATCTTATGGAAAAGTTCTCTACATTGTTAGTTATAAACTATTTTATGATTTCAAAGAAAGTATTCAGAATTTACAGTTAGAGGAAAGAAGGGAGTGTAGTTACTGATGTTTTTAGCAGCAGACTTTCAGTAACCTTTATTATTCTGCCAAGAATACTCTGCTAACTCTGCTCTCCACCTCATTTCAGTGCAATTTAAAATATCCCTTGTAATCCATTTAATAATAGGAAATTAATGCCCTTGGATTTTGACCTGCTATATTGGTGCTGTTTAACTTTAATTGCTTAGTGCCCATGATCTAACTCCATATGTTTACATCAGTGCTACATTTCAGAAGATCCCAAATTCACATAAGAATTGTTTTTTTGGCCCCGTGTCTGCAAATACAAAGTTAGCATGCCATATATGCATGCAGGTATATAATTTATAGGAGTAAAAGACTCATTTACAAATATTCCTGCCAATTACTTATGCTGGTGTTGAGTCTAATGAACAGACTCTTTGCTATTTGCCCACATTTTTATAAATTTGAACTTTGTTTTTTATCCAGGTTCACAACTTTATCGTGTTTTTTCAGTATCTAGTCTTTCTTTGGCATCCCTGAATACAGGAGACAATGAAAGTGTGCAATCGGGCAAGAGAACACCAAGGTAAAACTGCAGTACCGCTTTTATGTAAAATGAATCGGTATTTATTCATATAAAATAAACCTTCCTGATACGTATCAGAATTCTTAAAGACACCAAGTCCTCACATCCTCTGTGCAGTCTCTTTAGTTTGCGTGCTTGAGTTTGTCACAACCTGTAGAAACTTAGTTCGCTTCTTGTGATCCCCTGTGTGTTATGTGTAGTCCTTCATTTTCTTTTTTTTTCTTTTCTTTTTTTTTTTTTTGTTGGCAACATTAATGAATTGTTCTTTTCTTACTAATAATACAAAAATATCAGAAGCTCAACAAAACTTCATCCTCGGCTAAACATCAGAATTTTTTTTAGTTAGAAACCAATTCATTGTTTTCATTTTGAGAATGAAATAACAGTCAGCATTATATAGAACGGTCATAAAATTATATTTGGAGTGAGGATAAAGGAGAGAAGGAAAAGTTACGTATTTATGGCTCCTATCAAAAATGACTTAATATGTTGCTTAATTTATCAGGTGCTTGATTCTGTTTGAGAGGGGATATACTGTAGTTAGGGACATAATTTGTGGTTTCACAGAAACCGCATCTGGGATTGTCCGCAAAAGCAATGAAAAAAACCAAAAAAATTTAATAAAAATAAAATGCTGGCTCCCCAGTGGGAGCCAGCCATCTTCACTGCCAGGAGGTAAAGGTGCTGACTGGTGGGGCGGCACGAAGGGCAACAGACAAGATGGCGGCTGCCTGTCATCCCTCCTCCCCCTGCCGAGTCCTCTCCACCAATTAGCACAGAGGAAGAGGATGGCACAAGGGCAGCCAGAAATCAAAGTGGTGGCCACCCTCTTGTCCCTCCCCCCAGGACCTCTCTGCCAGTCAGCACTGAAGGGTGGGGCCACACAAAGGGGAGCCATCCATCAAGATAGTGGCTGCCTGTCTTCCCTTTCTGCCCCACCCCCGCACCAGGGTCTCTCCACCAATCAGCACTAAGGGGTAGGGCTGCATGAAAGGCAGCTAGCAATCAAGGTCTTCTCTGCCAATCCGTGCCAGCAGGTGGGGTCTCTCTGCCAGTCAATGCTGAAGGGCATGGCTGCTGCAAAATGCCTGTAAAACTGGCTCTGCACACTGCAAGCCAGCTGCAAAAAACCCTTTGTCTTGCTGCAATTTAGGTAGGTCCCTAGCTATAATTCTGTGGAGCCAGTATGTGGAAGGGAAAAACCCATCTACACTGATTTTATTTAAACCAGATTAGCTGCTATTGTGTTCTTGTACTTGTGCAAAGCCCAGGTATAAGTGTGTTGTAACTAATGTAAAAACTGGACTTCTACCAGTGCAGCCTGCTATGGCTTCAGATTTGATTCAGAGCTCTGAACTTTTAAAAAGCTATAAAACTAGTAAAATTGGTTTAAAGGCATGTAATTTATAGGACGCTTAATAATAACATACTGCAGGTTTGGACTCCCATAATGTTCCCCTCTTCCTCATGTCAAAGATTTGTTTTTCCTTTTCCAGTACTCCTGCATACTTCCTGCAAAGGCTGAGAATGTACATAAAATAAGATGGATGGGGTTTAATTAAGAATTTTACCAGATGTCCATTGAATGTGTCCAGAAATTATTTTTTTAATTATTTTTATTCTTAATTTCTTATTTAAATAACTAAGCAAGATTTTTTTCCTGGCTGGGACAGCTTCCATGGCAAGTTTCAAACTTGATCTATTTTTGCAGCAACCCCCTTCAAAGAAAATTAAGGATTTATTTTAACTTTTGAAGAAAATTACGTAGCTTTACAGGATTTTGCTCACACTTTCCAACCACGAACATTAAATATTTTCAGCCTCAAAGGTTGATGTTTTTGAAAGCAAAAGTTTGTCATAAAAATTGTTTTATAATCATAACGCTATAGTAGTCGTCACAGGGAACTGCTGCAACAATGTCAAAAGTAGCAATGAAGGAACATTTACTTGTAGTTCATCATCGTGTCCAAGAGCAAGCTTGCTCCCTATAAAAAGTTCTGCCAAGTTTTGCTAGTACAGTTATAAAGGATTAAAGCTTCCATTTAGTAAGACGATAATGCGTGCTAATAGACTT